TCTTCACATTATTTTAATAATTTTGTTTTTTATTTTTATTATTTTTGGCTGCGTTGGGTCTTCATTGCTGCTTGCGGACTTTCTCTAGTTGCGGCGAGCAGGGGCTACTCTTCGTTGTGGTGCGTGGGCTTCTCATTGCGATGGCTGCTCGTGTGCGCGGGCTTCAATAGTTGTGGCACACGGGCTCAGTAGTTGTGGCTCGCGGGCTTAGTTGCTCCGCGGCATGTGGGATCTTCCCGAACCAAGGCTCAAACCTGTGTCCCCTGCATCGGCAGGTGGATTCTTAACCACTGTGCCACCAGGGAAGTCCCTCTTCACATTATTTTAAAATTAATAAAATTTCTCCTTCAGGTCTTGGCCAGAGGGTCAGTTAATTAATGGTGGTGTCTGCCCACCCCTGCGCGTGCACAGGTGGGGCTGGGGCCGCGAGCTGCAGTTCAGGCCTCAGTGAGTTACTTGTGGTGATCAGTGAGTTAGTTACTTGTAGTCAAGAATTTCAAAAGGAAATGTATAAAAAGTATCCAAAACTTTATAGCAGGGCTTCCCTGGTGGCACAGTGGTTAAGAATTCACCTGCCAATGCAGGGGACACGGGTTTGAGCCCTGGTCCAGGAAGATCCCACATGCCGAGGAGCAGCTAAGCCCGTGCGCCACAACTACCGAGCCTGCACTCTAGAGCCCGCGAGCTGCAACTACGGAAGCCCGCGAGCTACAACTACTGAAGCCCGCGCGCCTAGAACCCATGCTTCGCGACAAGAGAAGCCACTGCAGTGAGAAGCCCGCGCACCCCAATGAAGAATAGCCCCCGCTCGCCGCAACTAGAGAAAGCCCACACGCAGCAACGAAGACCCAACGCAGCCAAAAATAAATACATAAAATAAATAAATTTAAAAAAAACCTTTATAGCAGAATCTTTCTTGCATTTTATCTGAGACAGTGCGTTTTTAAATTCTGAAGTGATGTCAGGGGAACCTAGGCACCTTCCCCTCCTGGACCAGGCACCCCAGCATGGAGGACAGTTCGACCCAGGCCTCCAGCCACTGCCCGAGGAAGGCTTTGCTCCACGGTCACACTCCCAGAGTTTGTATCCTGCCCTTTTTTCTTTGTCCTGCTAACAGTTTTTCACCAAAAACAATAAAACAGCCACAGTTATTTTACCAGCAAAACGGGTAGATTTGGCAGCAGCAAAGAAGTGAAGTTCAGGACAGGCAGCTACGGTGAACCACAAGCAAGTCTGGTGAAGCAGAGGAGAAGGGCAAGTTGTTGTAAACAGTCTACTGGAGGAACTGGGTGGTGGCTTTTCATTGGCTGAGAGGCCGCCAGGCGGGGGACATCGTCCTTCCTCCTGCTGGTGGCAGTGAAGTATCTGCTTCTGGCCGCAGGTGCAAGGGACTCTCCGCCTGCTGGGATCTGTGTTGAGGCCCAGGGGCACCTGCCTGAGCGCTTACCCTTCTGGCCTCCCGACTGCATTTTAGTTGAGGTTCCCCTTTGTTAATTTTCACATAAGTCTTCTCTAAACACTGCAGGAGACACTGCTGCAGGTAGCGAGTCGTTTCACCGCTGGGCCGTGTCTGACTTCCAGTATCAGGGAAGGGGTCTGAGTGGTTTTACCTGCATTTGCTGGAGTTTCCACTTCTTCCTTTGACTGGATTCCAAGAAGCAGAATTTGGGGTTGAAAGACTTTAGACCGGCCAGGCTTCTTCACACCCTTGTCAGCTTCAAATGTGGCCATTTCAGCCTCTTTGCTGGTTTGCACATTAGACACAGACTTGTCAGGAAGCGGCTCTCATGAAGGAGCCCCACGCCGGCCAGCCTGCCTCTCCTCGTGGCATCTGCCGGCCTCTCCCAGTCCAGCCCCCCGCCCCAGCCCCCTTCTCACAGGCTCAGTCTGCATCTGGGCCATGGTCTGACGTGATGGCTGCAGTCAGGTGGGTTGGTGACTTGCGGGCCTGGAGGAGCCCAAGTTCCCAGGGGACGGTGAGGACAGCAGGAGGTGTGGACCTGGGCCTGGGAGCCCACAAGGCCCAGAGCACGGGGTCCCGGGAGGAATTGTGGGGGAGCCCCCCCTCGTCCCTCCAGCCGCACCGCCAAAATCGCCAGGAAGCACTGACCCGCACGATGCTGCTTCCTAGGCGCCTGGCCTCCTGATGGCAGCCCCTCGCTGGGCCGGGGGTGCCTCTGGGCCCACGTTCTGAGGGCTCCACGTTAAGCCCCAGGGGTTCTCTTTCTTTTAAACAATCACCATTTGTTAGGCCTCACCACCTCGGGGTGCTCTTGGGCGCCCTTGCTTACCCCCTGTACTTAGCTTGCTCTGGGAGGAAGGCGGGCGGAGTGGTCAGTGCTGGGGGCGCCGTTGGAGCTGCCAGGGCAGGAGGGGGGATGGGGGCTTCAGGCCGGCAGCCCATGTGGGCCACTGGGCACCCAAGGCATCGGGGGCTGAGTCTGCTCCAGGCTTCTCGGGGGCGGGGGGGACCCGTTATTCGGTCCACTGGGAAGGGATTTCGCAGATGTAATTATGATCCTGAGCGTGTGGCCTTCAGACCCGTCCAGGGGGCAGTGCCCAGAGGAGGGGAGCCTCACCAGCAGGTGAGGCCGGTGGGGTCTGCCTGGGCCTGGCCCCTCCAAACTCAGCCCTGGCCCACCCAGCAGGGCCCCTGGCCATCCCCAGGTCACTGGGCTGTGGAGTCGAGGCCTCTGGTTCCTTCCCGAGTGTCCTTCCCAGGCTCTGGGTCCAGCCGGGATGCCCACAGCCTGGGACGGCCAAGCAGCCTTTCTGGACGCTGCCCCTGGTCCCGTGGGTGATGTCTACTCACTTGTCATCCTGGCCATCACCTCAGCAGGCTGCCCCGGGGGGCCAGAACCCCGTCCAGTGCGAGGGCTGTGCCCGAAGGTCCCTCAGTGAGACCCACTCGGGGTGGGGCAGCAGCAGCCGCTAAGGCCTCTGGGACTTGCCCACTGAGCAGCAGATGAGGAAACAGGGAGTCTGCAGCCAAAGTCGCTCAGGTTCGCGACACCTGGGCCCGAGCCCAGGCCTGTCCCCAAACCAGAGATGTGCAGCCTCCCTGGCTGCCCTTTGGGTACCCCTCCACACACGCTGTGGCGTGACCCCTGCCTCCCACCCCCACTTTAGCCTGACCTTGGGGCTCAGCCTCTGGACTCCACGGGCCGGGGGCACTGGCAGAGCAGGGAGGGCACCTAAAACCTCTTCCCCCTGGGGCTGGGGCCAAAGGTCATGCAAGCAAAACCACAGGGCTGGGGAGCCGCCCCCTTGCTGCTTCAGGCCAGCGTCTGGGAGAGTCCAGGGCACCCACGGGCCTCACCGAGCTCCCAGGAAGCCGGCTGAGGTCAGGCTGTGCCTCTGTCCCCGTGGCTGCCTGTCCTGAGCTTCTGGGGGCAGGAGGCCCTCCCCGCAGGGTGCGGGGCGCAGACCAACCCCGTCCCCGCTGTCCTCCGCGGGCTTCACCCGCTCCTCGGCCTGGCCCACACTGACCTCACCTCTTCCACCAAATCCTCAGCGTTTCCAGATTCTGAGGTGGCCCAAGCTGTGGCCTGGACCTTTCTGGGGTGAAATGTGCCGGCAGTGGCCAACCCCGCCCCCTGTGGTGACTCGAGTTCATGGTCCCCCCACCCCGCACCCCCCATCCTCTGGGCTTCTCCAACAGGCCTCCACCCACCGCGCCACTTGGCCTCCATCTCCACAACTGCTCTCACCCCCAGCTGGCCCCCCAGGCAGACTTCCCAGGTCCTGGTACTCAGTGGCTCCCAGGTGTGGGAACCTCAGCAGGACAGGCCCCGGCCACCACGGGGCAGGAACTGCTGGATGCGGAGCCTGACCTGAGAGAGAGGGGAGGCCAGCTGGGTGGGCGCCCAGCACTGAGGCCTTGGGTGAGGTCTGGCCCCGGCGCTGCTCAGACACAGGCCAGGAAAGGCCAGAAGAGGTTTCCAAGGCCACCGCTCTGAAGACCAGAAGCTTCGAGGGACCTCAGGCCTGGCCCACAGAAATGCCCCACCGGCCAGGTCAGGAGACGTCTTGGGTCCCCTGTCCTGTGGCCTCTGGGACCTGGGCTCCGCATCCCCTTCAATGTGCTCCACAAAGCCCAGAAGATCAAGGTTCAGGGGTCAACAGCCTTTGCCAAGGAGCGCGATCCTGCGGGCAGTGTCTCTGTCCACGGTGAGCCTGCCCCTCTGGCCCAGAGACCCCAGCTGGCCGGGCTGACTCCTGCCCTCAAGTAGACAGACACTCTGTTCCTGGAGCAACAGGGCCTAGCTTGGGGTCCGTGCATGGCCGCCTCGAGTTTGGAGAGCCTCAGGCCCCGGCAGCGCCCCCGCCCTGCCCCGCCGCCCGTGCAGCTGACTGTGGTCACGGGCACCTCCCAGTGGACACACCGCCCACCCAGCCCCACAGCGGAGGGACAGCAGATACCTTCCAGCCGCCAAGACGCCTGGGCAGGAAGAGGCCGCGCCCACGCATCCGCCTAGATCCCGACAGGAGGGCGGGGGCCACTCCGCTGCCCGGGCGTCCACCGTGTCTGCCCGCGGTGGCCTCGCAGCAGTGCTTGCAGGGACGCTCGTCCCATCTCTTGCCAGGCTCCAGCCCACAAGGCTGTGTCCACAGCACCTGCTCTGGCTCCTGGAAGAGCCTGGTCCCACCTCTGCCCAGGCCTGGGAGGGAGGGAGGGAGGGAGACCCAGAGCCGGAGCGGGCGGCAGGGGAGGAGGGAGGCGGGAGCTCCAGGCCGGGGCACGTGCCCCACCGGCCTCTGCAGGGCACCCTCGGCCCAGGCCTTGGGCTCCTCCCTGCAGGACCGGCCCTGAAGCCTGACCCCAGAGCACTCGGGACAGGATGTGACTGGGGTGTGGGGGGGACTGCTGGAGCGCAACCCACTACCTATGGGTGGGCCAAGGGCAGGCTCAGCGCATCTGGGCTCCCCAAGCCTGGTCCACCCTCCTCAGCATCTTGGTGTTGGTTACAAAGAACTAAATTAAGTTGTCACTCGACCCCACTTTTTAAACAAGCCTGTTTATTGAAAGAATCTGAAAATAGAAATAAGACTTTCAACATTTAACAAATTTTCAAGATATTAACAATATGAAACATTAAGAATTGATTTCAAAAACCCAAAGTTTCCTAGTTCATTCCCTGTCACGCTTCAGGACTTGGTCTACACTGGCTCTGTTGTCTGAACGAGTAACCTGCGTTCTGAATGCTACGCTTTTCTGGGCCTAAAGCTGGGAGTGTCGCCCCCTCAGCCCATGGGAGGCCGAGCGGGCTGCCCACTGTGCCCGAACTCGCGGGCAGAGGGTGGGAACCGACCTCCGTGCCCAGCACCGGCTGAGCTGCCCACACAGGCACGCGAGGCAACAGCACTTGATACACACACGGACAGTGGCCACGGTGCTCAGGCCGCAGGGCCCGCCCTGGAGACCCTGGATGCCCTTCCATCAGCCCGTGACCCTCCAAGCACGCAAAGCACAGCGCCCCCCGGCCCCTGTCCCTCCAGAAGGAAGTCCAAGAAATGACGGGCCCCCATCCCTTCTGTTCTGGCCAATTTAACAGGAGAAAACGCAACCCAGAGAGAAAACAGTTACTCAAAAATAGGAAGCCCATTAGGCGACAGTAAGCGGGGCCAGGGCCACACGCCCCCCGCGAGCCACTGCTCCCACCAGACTCCAGGCGGCCCCAGCCCCAGGCAGCCAGCGATGGAGGCGCGGGGGCTGGAGCGACGGGCACGCCCTCGAAGCCAGGCCCCCGGGGAGAAGCAAGAGCAGCTTCAACACCTCCTGGCCCGCCAAGCGCCAGGCGCTCTGAGCAAGTCGCCCAGCTCTCCGGACAGTCGCGCGGGCTGCACAGGATGGTCCCACTTCACAGCACAAACTCCCTTCTCGCCGAATTCTCAAAGTGTACACGACAAAATCTGTACGTAAGCACTTTCAGAATAAAAGAATCTCTAAAAAGTAGACACAGAATCGAGCACACCCTCCAGGGGGGGGAGGTGCGTCCCTGCTTCCCGAGGAATGTGTGCGGCCTGAACCCTCGCCCCGCCAGTGCCGGTCACCCTGAAGCGGGGGAGGAGACCGGGGCCTGGGGACCCATCTGTCCTGGCAGCCAACCTGCTCTCGGCAGAAGCGTCCCCCCGAGTGGCTTCAGGGGAAGTCGTGGGAGCTGAACGATTTTTGGCCGTGAGACATTTATTTTCAACACCATAGGATAGACCCATTCATTCTGATCCCCTCTGAATCTCAGTAGACTGATTTATGGAAGTTTCCTCACAAGGAACTACAAGGAGCCCACCAGGCTCGGCCGTCCCTGCCTGGGGCCGGGCTCTGTCCACACGCAGGGTGAGTGCGCCTGGGCTGACCTCAGAGCTCCTGGTCTGCTCACTTGTTTAGAAATGCAGAAAAGTCAGATTTAAAACGTTAAAAACAGCTGATCTGGTCGACAAAAGGCAGATTGCAGGCCCTTCCTCTGGCCAGACACGTGGTGCGGCACCTGCCACTGGCGCTGGGCCCGTGGTGCTCACGACGCGCTCAGGTCCGCCCGTCCCGAGTGCAGACGGCAGGACCGCAGGCCTGGTTCCCCGCCCCATCCTCCTCGTGCGCGTCCTCCTCGTCCTCCGCGAAGTGGGCTTGCTTCTTCCGCACGTTCCAGTGCAGACACTGTGCCAGGCTCTCAAACCAGTCGCTCACGGGGTCGCGGACACAGATGGAGGGGAGCGGGTAGCGAGAGGTAGTGATGCTGACGCTGAAGCAGGAGAGACGCACCGTGGCCCCTCCTAGAACCGCTGAGCGCATGGCCCGCCCCCCCATGGCAAGACCCCTCCCTGGTCTGGCTGGGGACCACCTCAGCTCTGCTCACGCCACCTGCTGCAAAGCCTGGCCCCAGGTCCTACAGTGCCACTTTCCGGTCTGGTCCTGAGAACAGCCAGGAACTGGGGGCTCAGTGGTGCTCTTGTGCCCCCCAGGACAGAACCACGGACCCCCTCGACGTACCCAGGTCCAGAGGGACCCCAAGGAGCAGGGTGGCGGAAGGATAAGCAGTGGGAACGGCTGGCAGGGCGCCGTCACCCCAGGCACAGGTCCACGACACGATCTCTCGAGAACCAGGGATGGGCCCTCAGCCCACCTGCCCCACCCGCTGCAGCCCCGTGGCCCACACACCTGTCTCCGTGGCGGACCTCCTGTCTCTTTCGTCCATCGAAGGACACCCACACAGTGTTCCTTGCTTCCGGTGACAGCATGATCTGACGGGTCAAGCAGGACAGGTGTGGGCTACCTGAGCGCAGCAGAGCGCCGTGGACCCTACCCCGGGGGGACAGCACCGGCCGGGAGGAACCTCACGGGCGCCCCCAATGCCCACCACGTGCCAAGGTCAGTTCCAGGCTGTGAAAACATTAACTTGCGTCGTGCTGACCCCAGCCCCAGGGGCCTGGCTCTAGCATCGCCCCCCACCCCCCACCCCCCGCATCTCTCTGCGTCCAGCAAACGCAGCCCCACCCACCAGGGCTCACATCAGGGACTCACTGGTCTGGGGGTGGCCTGCAGTGGGGGGCAAGGGGCAGGGGAAGAAGAGTGGACGTGGAAGGGCAGCAGGGCCAGTCAGACGCCAGGACACGCCGTGGGGGACACGCCGGGCAGCGGCCGTTCCTCACCTGTGGGCCCCCCTCCCCTCCAGCAAGGCCTGTCCCCACCCACTCAGGCTGAGAGCCCACCTGAAGGGCTGGCCCGGCTCTCAGCACCACCCCCGCCAACCGGACCCCTGGGGCACTGGCCACACGATGGAGGCCAGGGTGGATACAGCCCCTCCGGCACCCAGCAAGGCAGGAGGTCAGCACTGCAGGCCCCGCACCGGCTCCAGCCGACAAGGGCAGCGGGGGTGGGGTGGGGGTGGGCTCCGACCTTCAGCTCGACCCCTGCAGGAACCACGATGGGCCGGAAGGACAGCGAGTGGGGGCAGATGGGCGTGATCATGATGGCTGGCACGTTGGGGTGGATCATGGAGGCCCCGGCAGCGGCTGCGTACGCTGTGCTGCCCGTTGGGGTGGAGACGATCACGCCTGCGGGACAGGCTGAGGGTCACGGTCAAGCGCCCGCCCCCACCCCACGTGCAGCCCCCAGGCGGGCCTGACGCCCACCTACCGTCGCCCTGCACCGTGGTGATGAGGTGCCCATCCAGGTAGACGTCCACGTTGGACAGGTATGAGGATGGGCCTCTGTCTATCACCACCTCGTTTAAGACCTGTGGGTGAGGTCACCGCAAGCTGAGGGGGCCGGGCAGCACCGAGCTGCTCCTGGGCTCCCTGGAAGGTCCCGAGGACAGGGCTGGGGGGTGTCCAGACCAAAGCTGCCACCCTGTACCCCCTGCCCGAGGGCGAGGCCCTGAGCCCTGTGGGGGACAGACCCACAGACCTGGTACTGCATGACCTGCTTCCCGACCTCTGCATCCAGGGCTGCGGCCAGCACCCCGTTCTCGCTGATCCCGTTGGGGACGGCCACCTTCTTCCCTCGGAGCTCCTTCACAACCCTGACCTTCAGCCGGCTCCGGAGAACAACAGCTGCGTTCCCTGGGGGCCAGCAGGGGTCACACCCAGGGAGGTCAGCAGGGATGGGGGCGGTGGTACTGCAGGAAGAGAGACCCTCCCATCGACCAGGGACCCCCCTTTCTTCTCCCAAATGGAGGGCAACACCCTGTGCTTCTGTGAAAATCAATTCACTGCTACTCGACACGTATGGTAGCCTAAACCCGTGATCAGCTCAAACTTCTCACTGTTAAGAAAAAACGTCTGACTCGTTCAAAATTTAGAATTCTCTGAATCCCGAAACACTCAAGTGTTGCTCTTTGCATTGTTAAAAAAGCCCCCAAATCCCATAAGATGATCCCACGTTCAGAACTGCTCGTGGGTTCTGGAACACTCTGACTCACCCTGTATCACCTGAGTAACTTGGGACTGAAAGTTCTCGAAGTTGAAGGGGGTCAGGAAGCCCAGGGAGCCCAGGTGGAACGCCATGACCGGAGGCACGCTGCCCTGTGAGCCAATGAGGCAAGCCATTCAGCTGGCCAGTGCACTCGAAAGCCACCCGAGCCGTCCCCAGCCCGGAGCGACCCGCATCCCGACTACCCCTGGGAGGGGCGGGCACGGGAGTGCAGGGTCGGCGCCCGGCGTGGTCGGTGGGGCTGCCGTGCTGCAGTGGGGCAGGGCTCCTTGGGGTGACGGCACTCGGCCCGCGAGGAGTCAGGGAGGCCAGGGGAAGAGCGTTGTGGGCAGCTGACGAGAAACGGAGGCGGCGGGACGGACCAGCCCACCGGCCACGGCAGACAGGAGGGAGCGGCGGGGAGACCTCGACAGAGCCGCTGGAGAGGAGTGGGGGCAGCCAGGGGCAGAGGGCCTAGGATGGGGCTCGGGGACCCTAACGGGGCGGCACTGCAGCCCCCCGCATGCTGCTTCCGCTGAGGAGGGAGGGGCAGGCGGGTGAGGAGGGGCTCCCACAGTGGGAGGTGAGGAAGAATGGGCAGCTCTGAGGAGGCGGGACAGCCCCAGGACCCTTGCCCTCGTCCTCTGCCGGCCACGAACGCTGCGGCCTTCCAGCCTCAGCGGGTTCACACCGTCGGATGTGAGGCCCCAGGCCCCGCCGGGCCCTACCCTCCTGCCCTGCTGGCCGTTCTGCCCACTTCCAGGCCGCTCTCTGGAGGCCACATCTGACCTTCTAACACACCTCGGCCTGGTCACTCCAGGAGCCCTGCCTTGAGGAGCGTGAGGGTGGGCTCCTGGGCAGACTCTGGCGGTCTGCGGCCTCCACAGGGCTCCCCCGACCCCCCGGACACTCGGCCTGCAGCCGCTGCCCTCACCTGCCCCGGACGCTCATCCACCAACTCGGCCCCACATGCCGGCTCCTCCGGGGGATGCCCCGCCCCCAGGCCATGCCCCGCCCCCAGCCCCACCCTCAGGCCCCCCCTTCTGGTGCACCGGCACCTCGAGGTGCATGGAAACGCCTGGCCTGTCACAGTGTCTAGCACCGGACAGCAGATGCAGCACTTGGTATCGTTTGCAAACTTGCTGTGTCGCTGCCTCCCCTCGCCATCCTCAGGCGGCATCTGGGGGCCTCACCTGGAAGAGCGACGAGGCGTACAGCAGGGTCCCGTCTCCTCCCAGGCAAATGATGAGATCAATCTGGTTGGAGATGTCATCGTAATCTAGAAAAACAAGGCAGACACAGAAGAGCCGTCAAACACCCCCGATGCTGCCAGGCGTGGCCACATGGGCGAGGCCCCACGGGACAACTCGCCTTCTCTGAAGGTGCAGAACTTCCTCTTCACTGGCCCAAAGCGGTCATCACTCACGATGGCGGGGTCCTCCAGAACCTTCTTCTCCACGTACACGATCATGTTGTTTTCCTGGAAGGGACATGGGCGAGTCAGCCCTGCCGGTAAGAGCCAGGCCAGGGCGGGCCGGTCTTCACGGAGCCTCCTTCCTGCCTTGCTTGGCCTTGTACGATGCTGGGTGGGGGGTGGGCGGCAGCAGCTCTGTCTCGGTGACAAAGCGCGACCGCTTTCTCACTTCACACGCTGCTGAGCTGCTGGAGGCTCGGCGACGCTGGGTTACAGAACCTCCTGACTTGAGCAGCCCCAGGATCAGAGCCCTGGAGCCCCAGGCGGGAGCCGGCCTGACCCCAGCCCCGCGGCCACCCCTGCTCACCTCCATCAGGTACACGCAGAGCTCCTTGAAGGGCTGGAGCAGGCTGGCGTCCCGGATCTTCTTGATGACGAGGACGCTCTTTGGGGACTTGTTCCACGTCAGCCGCTGGCTGGCAGGGTCCTGGATGTGCCTTTGAGGGGAGACGAGCGTTCGCACTGGCCCTGGGCCGTCCCCGGAGTGTGTCTCCTGCGCCAGCGCGGCCGATCCCCGAGCCGGAGCGGGCGCTCGGGGCACTCAGCGCGGTGCCCCCCCTCTGGCTGCCCGGCTGCAGCCCTGCCCGCGGCTCCTCTGGAACAAGGCTCACTCGGGGACCTGCTGCGGAGGAAACCCCACACGCACCCGGACCCAACAGATGGGGACTCTGTCCCGGGGGACCCAGGCCTCCTGCTGACTCGCAAGAGGGGCACAGCCCCACGTCCACACCACTGTGTGAGCAACTCAGGTGACCGTAACTTTCACAGCTAAAAGCCACCCGTTTTAAAGTCAATGGCAGGATGTGAGGCAGGGAGACTGCTCTAGAGATTTCAGCAGTGGGCACGTGTTGTCACGTGTGTCCAAAGCACAGGACGCACCGCACGGAGGGACCCTGGTGTCAACTAGGGAATGTGGGTGACACGATGTGTCAGTACAGGTTCGTCGTGTGTAACAGGTGCACCCTCTGCGAGGATGTCGATGAAGGGCTGGCTGGGGGGGGCGGGGGGGGCATGAGAAATCTCTGTACCTTCTCCTCACTTCTGCTGCGAACCTAAACCTAAACCTGCTCAAATAATAAAAGCAAAATCCAAAAACAGTCAGCTGGGCCTGCCTGCCAACAGCAGCTCTGCAAGTTCTGCGGCGCTCGGCCTTGGCCCCTAGCGCTGGGGGGCTGGCACGGTCCGCGGGCAGCAGATCCTCCCTGAGGGGCGGAGGTCCCGAGGCCGAGCCCTGCCAGGACTCCGACCGCTGTGGGCACCCGGCAGGCGCCCGCCCGGCCTGGCAGCACACCCCTCCGCCTGTTGGGAAACAGTCCTGAAGGCTGCAGGCAGTGACTTCCCTTCTGACGCAAGTTCCCCAATCAAGACAACTGCTCCAGGTCACACCCTGTGGCTGCGGCCTCCCTGAAAACCTGACGACCCCAACAGCAACTCTCCAAACCGTGACGTGAACCATGAAAAGAGCAGTGGGTCCCTGGCCCCAGGCTGGGACTGACTGACCATCACTCACCCTTTCCAGGCGTTTCTGCGAGGGCAGGGGTCACTCATGACCTCCTCTGCCAGGGTCTCCACCAGCCCGGGTCACACGCGCGGCTCAGCGGAGGGCGGCGCTTGGTGCCCAGCATCTCGGTCACGCTTGACTGACAGCAGGAGTGCCATGCAAACCACCTCCCCCAGACTCCCCAAATGTGCAACTGCACCACAACCCTGATTTCTGTACCCTCAAAACTGAAAGCAAAACGTGCTGTAACTTGTTGAAGGTTGTATAAAACACGTCAAGAGAACTTCCTAAAATGAAAAATCAAACCAGACGAACTGTGTTGGATCTTCTCACTGTTCACACCATCCTCCTGTCCAATCGCCTTTAACAGCAAAGAGGCCAGACCTCAGACGCCTGCTCTTCAGAGGCTGGGCGCCAAGTTCTGACGCCCTGGGCGGTCAGGATGGGCCCCGTCCAGCCGCAGACGACAGCGCTGGGCTGCGGAACCGGCTTGGCCCGTGGGAGGGGCCCGCAGGTGGAGGGGCGGGCACTCGCGGGCCTCCTGCCACTCCACCTGGCCCTGGGGCCTGGAGGGAGGGCAGGCGGGTCAGCGGAAGTCTGCCTGGCTGCCCAGGTGGATGATGAAGCCCCCCCTCCACTGACCAGGTGGGCCGGACTCACGGCCCTTCAAGACCCGAGACTCAGCCGCGCCCAGCCAGAGCCACCACAGCGCCATCGGCTCGTCTCGGGTACCAACTGGTCACTTCCTGTTGGATCACTGCAAAGAGCGGTGCTGGCCCCTCCCTGGCACAGAGGCTCTGGGGGCTGGACGGGAGGCAGGGATGCCTGACAGCTCAGCGGGGGACCCATCTGAGCCCTGTCTCAAAAGCCAAAGGCGTCAGATGTTGGCAATTCCACGTTTCAACATAACAGAAAATACACATTCATGGTGAGGTCTGAGAGAAGGAAGTAGGAAGTGCATGTCTTGCAGTCAACTCCTCTACAGTATGTTCCTTTTCAGCATCAGGGGAAGTCAGGTCAGCACATAATCCCTGCCCCACCAGCCACGGTGTTGGGAGCGCCAGGAACAAGATGGAGAAGTGGAGTCCTGTCCCCCCAGGGCAGGACTGTGCTGGACGCAGGGCCTCGGAGACGCTTCTGGAGCACCTGCCGCTCTGCTCGGAGCACCCCTCCCCACGATCCCACCTGACCTTGGGGAGCAGCTCAGATGCCATCCCGAGACCCCACCCGAGGTTCACGAGGCCAAAACACACACACACCTGTGACATGGGCTGGGAGCAGCTGACAGCCAATTAAGCCTGGATAGCCAGAGGCCACCCAGGGCGGCACTTATGCTGAGCCATGAGTGACGAGGAGGGAGCGGCACTGCCAAGACCAGGGAGGGCAGGGAGGGGCCCCCGGGCAGCGGTAAAAGGTCAAGGCAGGGCAGTCTGGGGCAGTGCACACAGCAGGGCGTGGGGCACCTGGGGGACTGGATACCAGTGTGGATGCTGTGCGGAGTGCAAACGTGGGGCACTGGGGGGTGGGCGCCGCAGGTGGGCAGGACCTGCCCGCGTCCAGCAGCAGCGACTAGAGAGCCAGGGCAGCACCTGGACGGTAGAGGCACTGACACCAGTTACCCCAGTACCCAGGCCGCCCTTGGGTCACCAGGGTCCACAAAGCACAGCAGCCCCCGGGGGCCCGGCACCGTCTGCCCACTGGGCCAGTGCTGAGAACGGGGAGACAGCTGCAGGGAGCAAGGCCCCCCGACGGTGAGTCGCAGAAGCCCACCTGGGCGCTTGGTCTGACCCCCCCCCAGAAGGTGAACCCGCCATGGCTCCCCAGAAGAAGGGGGCACAGACGGCCCACTCGGTGGTGAGCCCACCGCCAGGCACAGTAGCAGGGCCGACTTGGAATTCTGCTGTTTCAACACGAAGCTCTTGTGGCCACGAAGCCATTTGAGTGTTTTCTCCCCTAGGACACACACGACACAGAGCAAAGGAGCAAAGCTTTCCCCTCTTTGGAACCATCCAGCACCTGGAGGAGGTGCTGGACGGGTAGAGACGGGAGCTGGGTTCAAGTGTCCAGTGAAACAGCCCGAACTGCTTCGCTTCTAAATAGTTTCTCAGCCAGCACCGCACGGCCAGGGGCCCCCAAGCTGCACTGCCCTCAGGCTGTCGCTAAAATACAGAGCTTACATAAAAAAAAGAAAAGGAAAAAAAAAAATTGTGCCCGCAAGTTAGGGTATCTCTCAAACAAGTAAACTCAGCTTTTCAAAAATGCCAACTGACATCTCTGCATTTCAATAATAATTAAGAGAAACATATTTGACCCACCAAATGCATTAGCATGAAATACATTATTCTTCTCTCCTAAGGTTTTTCCTGTAAAAAGCAAATTAACTCTAAACACGAGTCGAGGCCCCTCCGACCCACTGCGCCCACTCTCGCCCCGAGCGAGTCGGAGACGGCGCCGCGTGGCCTCCTGGGGCCTCAGAAGCCGCCCGACACACTCACTGCCCCCCGAGCCAGAACCTCCCACAGTCCAGTGGCCCCTGGACAACAGCCCTGTGGAGCCTCCCAGAAGACTCACATGATGGTCTGGGGGTTCTGCAGCACGCAGGCCTTTGGTCCAAAAGTGGTCACTGGGCACGGCCCGTGTAGCGAGCGGGTCCTCCTGTGGGGAGAGGCACAGGGCAGGGGCCGTCAGTCGGCTGAAAGACACACACGTGTAGACAAGGCACAGACTGTGTTAAACTCTCCAAAATATTTTTAATCCAAATGATGTAAACTCCGTCATCTGCCCAGCACCGAAGTGACAGTCCTGGAAGACCCTGCCCTGATCCCCAGAGCTCTGGCTGGAAGGCTACATGCTGTCCGTGTAGCCATTAGAGGGGGCACACTTAGAAATACTCCTTAGAACAAGGACCCCAAACCAGTGCAGGTGCCCAGGCCCCACCCCAGAACAAGGGGATTCAACCCAGGAGAAGGGCCTGGGAATCTGAATTCTTGACTGGGCAAGTCTATTTGAAGACGAGCTTTTGGGCCTATACTTGGGAATCTAGACTTCAGAAACGATCCCCAAGTTATCCAGATTAATATTCTAACAAAAATACTCATTCTGAGTTGTGCTCTCAATAAAAACAGGCAGTACTTGAGTGACCCAACATTTCCAATAACTGAAAAGTGACTCACAGGGCACTGTGGCCACGGAGGCCACCTCTGACCCGCTGCCACCACACCAGGTTCAACGCCCTTTCGGGCATGACATCCCACAGAGCCAGCAGCCAAGGCCGCCCGCCCGGAGACGCACCCCCTGCAGTGCCAGGGACACCAAAACGGGAGGACAACACGACTGCACGGAAGCTTCTGCTGGGAGCTGGCCGCCCGCTGCCCAGCAGGCGAGGGTGCCGTCCACCGGGCCCCCTGCATCTGCGGCAGTGCTGGCTCGGGCAACTCCTCCCAAGACCCCGGGTGGCGTTCACGGCTCTGAGGCTGGCACTGCCGCAGCCCGCCCGGCCTGCCCAGTGCCGCTGACGGCACACGGGCCCCACCCACGCGCCTCAACCTTGCGCAGCGTGTGGGCACGGTGGGTGGGGGTGCCCTCTGGGAGCTGTGGCAGCAAGTGCGCCCAGCCCTCGCGTGTCTGAGCGCCCACGCAGGCCCAGAGGAGGCCTGGTACCTGAACTCGCGGGTGCTGGCCAGGGCAGGCGCGGCCGACAGGCTGCGGGACTTGGCGCGGCCCCGGATGGGGTGGCCCAGGCCCCAGTCCTCGTCACCATGGCACGCGGAGCAGCGGTAGGAGGCCGCCTCTGCACGCAGCTCCGCACTCCCGCTGACTGTTTCTTGTTCCATTTCTGTAGTCGATGGACGAGGAGGACTTCGGCCCGAAAACCGCGGAGGCCTTGATTTAATAAAATACAGTAAATATCTGTGTACAGAACAACGTATACACACACCTACACCCGCCCTGTCGGGAAAAATGACTCATGTCCAACTTACCAAAGGACCTGGCCAATAGTCTATTTCCATCCCAAAGATATTTAGGAACTCGGGAATCTACCTGTGGTTTTTAGTGAATCCAGAAGAGCTAGGGGTCTACCAAGCTGCGGTGTGGCCACGTGCCAAGGGGTGCACGCTTTCATGGGAGAGCAGTCACCATCGTGCAGTCTTAAATGCCTCTCGGCCCAGAAAATCTGGCTAAATATGCTTGATAAGACCACCAGCAGGCACCCACTGAACTCCATGTCCTGTAAACAGCCTGCGCTTTAATCCAGTGCCAATGAAACACTGGCCAAAACCGACGTACTTGGTCCTCAAAGAAAAGTTCAACTTCCAAATACTAGTAGAGATAGGCACCCTCATCTTCTAACCACAACATAGTAAAGCAGGAAAAGATGGAAGCAGAGGGCTTCCCTGGTGGCTCAGTGGTTGGGAGTCCGCCTGCCGATGCAGGGGACACGGGTTCGTGCCCTGGTCCGGGAGGATCCCACGTGCCGCGGAGCGGCTGGGCCCGTGAGCCATGGCCGCTGAGCCTGCGCGTCCGGAGCCTGTGCTCCGCAACGGGAGAGGCCACAACAGTGAGAGGCCTACGTACCAAAAAAAAAAAAAAAAAAAAGATGGAAGCAGAAACAAAACAACAGTCCTCCAACTACTGGGGAATGTTTGAATTTTCTCCTAACCAACTGAGGGCTCAAAAGAGGTATCAAAACAACCGTGACGGTGGATCGAAAAGGTAAGCATGAACCCAAAGTCCATGCCCCCCACTGAGCTGTGCTGAAATCCTTGGGAATTAGGAGTCATGAGCTGAGGCCTAAGTCAATGAAGCTAGAAAAGGAATAAAACAAGCCTCAGAAAGGCAGAAGAGGTGACAAAAATACAGGCAGAAATCAGTAGGTTGAAAAGTAGAAAAAGAAGAGCAGAGCTTGGAGAAAAGCAACAATAAATAAGCCAGTTTAGACAAGGGATGAAAAGAACTACACTCACTGAAAAACTTGGACCAAAGGTCATTTTCTAAGAGAACTGCTGACTAAGGGAAGAGCTTCGGCTGTGCCACGCGCTGCTGGGGCCTCAGGACCTGCCTGTCCTCGGGAAGCAGAGGGAGAGCGGGACACCTCGCTCAGAAAGACCCAGCAGGGTAGCCTGCCAACGGCTCACGTCACCTCTTGAACAAGCAAGGGAAACAGGGCCATCGCGGCAGGGACCACGATGCAGATGCCAGCACCAGAAGGGACAACGTGGGGTGACGGCACGAAGGGCAGAAAGAAAGTTTAAGGACTCCAGAAAAGCCTGGGGCCTCTACGATAAGGTCAAAGGTGACGGGGTCCCTGCATCTCCCACCTCCACCTGCCACACCTGACTTTGACCAAAGGCATCAGTAGTTTTAAAAAGCTCCTGAGAGGGCTTCCCTGGTGGCGCAGTGGTTGGGAGTCCGCCTGCCAGTGCAGGGGACACGGGTTCGTGCCCTGGTCCGGGAAGATCCCACATGCCGCGGAGCGGCTGGGCCTGTGTGTGCACCCCAGCTACTGAGCCTGCGCTCCGCAACAAGAGAAGCCACCTCAAGGAGAAATCCACGCACCCCAACAAAGAGTAGTCCCCGCTCACTGCAACTAGAGAAAGCCCGCGTGCAGCAACGAAGACCCAACGCAGCCTAAATAAATAAATAAGTAAGAAGACAAGGCTGTGCGTCCCTCTATCTGTGCAAGAAGGAAGAGCAGGCCAGGGAGGCCAGGGTTACAGCTGCAGGAATGTGGACACTTACCCCAGACCAGGACGACCAGGGAGCGGCAGAACCCGCACCGACCCGGCCAGGCCCTGTCGCGGCACTCGACTCAAACTGCCTGACTTACCCTCGCGAGGAGCCGTGCAGGGAGGGTCCAGGGGACCGAAGTCCAAGGTGACACAGCTGGCATCTGGGCCAGCACTCCTAAGCTCCTCATGCCTGACCACAGTGGACACAGATGACGGGACCCAAAAGGGAGGCCCAGGGCACGAGCTGGCCCAGGGTCCCGGGAGGGGAGAGGACCCTGCAGACCCCACTCCTCGTCTTCTGGAAACCATGCCTCTGACTTAGCCCCTCCTAAATTAAAATAAGCTTCTATCAGGGCATACCCCAGTTTCCAGTAACACGAAAGATCAACAGACAATCATTATAGGCAATAATGCCAAACCTCTGGCCAAACAAAACTTGAAGACCACTATCCTGGCACAGCACCAGCTGCAAGAGGCTGAAACCTGCTTGCAAGGAAGGCCTGCCCTAAAACCAACTGGGCCTGCAGCCTGTGCTGGGCAGGTGATGCTGTAATCCTAGGAGGCTGTGGAAAACTCTATCATCCCAGGAAGGTACAGAAATAACTACCTAGTAAGATCACTATAACCCTGAGAAGATACGGATAAGAAGGTAATTAAATCCTATGATGCTGAAATGTTCAAAAAGCTTAAAATTCATTTTATAATCACTGGATTTTTACATATTTTGTTTGATATTATGGGCAACATACCCAAAGGAAGAAATCATTCAAAGTAATTCTCATTTAAATGGTCGAGATGAATTTCTATTTGTAAATAACAATGTTACAAATGATAAAAGTTAGTGACTTCCCCCATTCCCACAACCTCCACCTACAAGGCAGTGCGGGGGTCTTCTGAGCTGCACATTACCCAGGGCCCAAACCACTCCCAACAAGCCCTCAACCACTCCTGGGACAACTGCTGAAATTTAATTTATTCTACAGCTACATACTCAGGTGATGCCATGTCAAGCTTCTACTTGTAGTTTAAGAGTTATATTACTCTGAGCCTTGGGGTAGTGCTTTGTGTTACCTGACACATGCTTAATGGGGACACAGCAATGTTTAGGAAGGACGGATCCATCGCCAAGCGGGGCTTGTCCCAGGAATGCAAAGCCCGCTCAGTGAATGCGATCCGTCACTTCATCAGGCTGATCCATCAACTGACGCACAGAAAAGCACTGGACAAAATTCAACACCCATTTACGGTAAAAATCCTCAGCAATTATGAATAAAGGGTAACTTCCTCAACTCGATAAAGAGCATCTAGAAAAAACCTACCGCTAACATTAACCTGATGGTGAAAAAATAAGACTGGGAACCAACTACTCTTCATCAGCACTGTACTGCAAGTCTGAGCCCGGGCAACGAGGCAAAAAAGGTAGAGACTGAAATTAAAGACAGTATCATCCACAGTCACCTAAAAAGTACTTAGATGCAATCTAACAAAACATGTAGAGGACTTGTATGCTGAACATATTTTAAAAACCCTGATGAAAGAGACCAAAGAACACTAAATAAACTGAGAGACACCCTTGATTATGGATTAGAAGACTCAACATAGTAAATATGTCAGTTCTCCCAAAACTCATCTATAGGTTTAATGCAATTTCTATAAAAATCTCAGCAAGATTTTTTTGTAGATATGGACAAGCTTATTCTAAAACATATATGGAAAGGCAAAGGTGCTAGAATAGCTAAGACATGTTTTAAAAAGAAGGATAGGGACTTCCCTGGTGGTTAAGAATCTGCCTGCCAATGCAGGGGACACGGGTTTGAGCCCTGGTCCAGGATGATCCCACATGCTGCAGAGCAACTAAGCCTGTGTGCCACAACTACTGAGCCTGCGCTCTAGAGCCCGCATGCCACAACTACTGAAGCCTGCGCACCTAGAGCCCGTGCTCTGCAACAAGAGAAGCCACTGCAATGAGAAGCCCGCGTACCGCAAGGAAGAGTAGCCCCCGCTCGCCACACTAGAGAAAAGCTCACGTGCAGCAACGAAGACCCAACACAGCCAAAACTAATAAAATAAAAAAGTAAAAAGAAGGGTAAAGGAAGACGAGTCCACTCTCTGACTTAAGACTCTACAGCTGTGCCAATCAAGACTGTGTCGCTGGCGCAGGCAGACACAGGCCAACAGAACAAATACACTCAACTGATTTCTGACAAACGCACACAAGCAATTCAGTGAAGGAAAGAGAATCTTTTCAGCAGGTGGTGCTGGAGTCATTCTACATCCACAGGCAAGAAAAACCTCAGCCTAACCTTCACATCTGAAACAAAAATTAACTCAAAATGGATCAAAATGGATTACGTTAAATATCAAACATAAACTATAAAACTTTTATAATAAAACACAGGAGAAGGAATTCCCTGGTGGTCCAGTGGTTACGAGTCCGCACTTTCACTGCCAAGGGCAGCGGTTCGCTCCCTGGTTGGGGGGAACTAAGGTCCCGCAAGCTGTGCGGTGTGGCCAAAAATAAAGAAGTAAAACACAGGAGGAAGTCTTGGGGACCTAGGGCGAAAGAGAATTTTTTTTGTACATGATATAAAAAGTACAGTTCATAAAAAATAAAAAAAATTGATAAACTGGGCTTCATTAAAATTAGAAACTTGCTCTGTGGAAGGCCCTGTTAAAAGGGTATAAAAAACAAACAAGCTACAGATGGGGAGGAAATATTTTCAAACTAGATATCCAACAGAGGATTCGTATCTATAAAATATAAAGAAATCTCAAAATGTCTGGTAAAAAACCAGATAATCCGATTAGAAAATGGGCAAAAGAGAGGAACGGACCACAGGGGGTGCGCCCGGGGTAAATGAGCACGCGAAAAGACACTCCACATCACGAGCGTTAGGAATCAAAACCACAATGAGATGTCACCGCACACTGGTCAGAAAGGCTAAATAACTCAAAGCTGGAGAGGCTGCAGAGAGACACCCACTCACACATCGCCGTGGGAACACGAAAGGCTCAGACGCTCTGGAAAAGCCTGCCAGTTTCTTATAAAAACGAAATATGCAGCCCAGCAACTGCACCTGGGCATTTATCCCAGAGAAATACCTGATGTTCACATACAACCTGCACATGAACGTTCACAGCAGCTTTTTTGGC